AACCTACTAGCAATGGCCTCCAACCTACTAGCAATGGCCTCCAACCTGCTAGCAATGGCCTTCAACCTACTAGCAATGGCCTCCAACCTACTACCAAGGGCCTTCAACCTACTAGCAATGGCCTCCAAACCTACTAGCAATGGCCTCCTACCTCCTGGTGATGGCCTCCAACCTACTACAGTGATGGCCTCCAACCTACTAGCAATGGCCTCCAAACTACTAGCAATGGCCTCCAGGTCTCCAACCTACTAGCGATGGCCTCCAACCTACTAGCAATGGCCTTCAACCTACTAGCGATGGCCTCCAACCTACGGGCAATGGCCTTCATCCAACCTAAGAGCGATGTCCTCCAACCTAATAGCGATGGCCTCTAACCTAAGAGCGATGGCCTCCAACCTACGGGGGTTGATCTTCAAAGATAGAGGAAATGTTGTCGCGCTTCATGGTTTGAATGTGATACACTGTTTTGGGGTCACTATATCGCTGCATATCGCTATTGTCATCACTAGTCCCGAGGATTTTGGACGAAAGAGATCCGGAGATTTTGCACTATTCAGCCTTTTCTCAGAAGAAGCCCAGGTTCAGAAACCTTCGACGAGCACCCAAACATCATAGTCCCATAGTCCAAGTCCCAAATCAATGCTGTTTCTCTATCACTGTTTTATCACTGCTCTTAGTGGGCACAATCAAGTTTCACCCAGTTTCTCTTCGAACAAAAAAATGTAATTTAAAATTCAAAAAGACTGTTTTGCTCCTTCTATATGATGTTTCAGTTTAATTTTCTTCTTAACCCGATTGGATCACAAGGTTTGACGTCAGACGAGTCCAGCGAGAGGCTCAACGAGTCCATGTCAGCGCCGAATGAGCCCAGCGAGGAGGCCATGGCATGACGCTCGTGGGGCACGAGGAAGGCGCTGGCCGAGGAAGAGAGGACTAATTGTGTTTTTTGTTTAAGCCGGCTTCCCCCCAATGGCGATGGCCTCCAACCTAACAAGGGCCTCCAACCTAAGAGCGTATGGAGGACAAAAGGAAGGAAGAAATGAAGGGTTTTGGTTTCTTTACTGAAAGTGAGCAGTCGTAAAAAGATCACAGGGAAATTGAGTGGTTCAGTATCAAACGACGGTTGCTATGCGCTGTGATGTGACCAAGAACCAAATGTGTAGCAACTGATGGTTCGTGGTGATCCCATCATCGGCTTCCCCAAGCAAGCAATACCAGGTTCAAGCAAACCGCAAAGATATTGTCAACCCACAGTTGCACCGTTTGAGGTTTCCTTTTCTAAGGGCAGATAAGGAGAGTGGATCTGTCGAGAGACATTGTGGGTTCTCGGTTCATTGTTGAAGAGTTCAAGAGCCCCGAACGTAATGATGGCGTCATGTTGTTTAAGAGCTGTTCCCATTTACAGGAAGTACAGTATGTAGGGTGGGCGGGACTGACAAGTGAGTCTTTGTGTTGTGGTGGTCCCGCCTTCAAGTCAAGTGAAACTCCTCCCGCCCTGGAACAAGGAGTGTGGGTGCATGAACGGGTGGACCTGCTGTTGGCCCAATGGGGCTAGTTTCATGATGGGCAGGTCTTGATGTTCTCCCGCGTTCTAAACTTTCGTTCTCCCTTGAACCAGCGATTGCTGCCTAGAGTCGAAGACAATGCAGCTGCGTTGGACGGCCTGGGGCCTTTGGCCACAAACAGGGCCCGCGGCTGCCTACCCCCAAGACGGGTCAGGGAGCCGTGGGCAGGGCCCTCAGCTGACCGAGTGGATCTTGCCAATGAGTTTAGGATGGGTGTATTGGGGGAGGTACCGCGCGCGGCGAGCAGTACCATGCGGTGTGCCTGGCTGGCTTCAATCTCACCGCCTCAATCCAAAAAGGGCGCCAGACTGGGTCTTCCAGGCGCAGGGGGGAGTCCCGGCACCAAAGCCTGGGGCAACGCGGTCCCAGAAGAGAAGAATTTAGACAAATGTCACTGAAGCGGGAGTTTTTGGGCAAGCCTTTGTCAATGCGACAGCTGAGTAACATTGCCCACCGCTCACCGGAGTCCGCTCCGCCCACGCTCACGCTCATCGACCTGGACCGGGGTCGGCGGACTTGATCGAAAAGTCGATGCAACTTCAGATCAAGACCACAAGCCCAGCGGCTCTGGGGCACTATCGAATCCCACTTGTCCCCCCCACTGCTTACAGGGTGGGATAGAAGAAATTGAGCCAAAGACGAAATTAGAATGTAACCTTTGAAAGGGAACCTTATGAAAGATGTTCTTTATGTCTTTTGTTGCCAGGCCGTCTTGGAAGATAGCGATTGAATGATAGGCCTTTTGGGGTCCACTAGGGTGGCCGTCAAGCAAAGTGAGGATGGAATTCGATGAGTCGGAGTGTGCCACCGGCCATTTGGCGAAAGTGCTTGAACTGGAAAGCCGGTCGCAAACGGAAAGCAAAGCACGCTCTTCTTTCATTTTTAGTACGTGGCCCTGCCCCCTTACTGAAGTAGGCGCCCACTTAAGTAAGGTTCGCTCCTAGCTACTAAAGTTTTTAGTAAGTGGACGCAGGATAGCTCACGCACCAATGATTTGGTTCCTAAATCTTTTGGGAAACTAGGGGCGTTCTCAAAAACAAAGCGCGCTGTGCATGAACTCGTCACAGCAGGATTTGGTTCAGCTGGCCGAGGACT